TTATAATACATTGTTTTTCATACATTTTAATTTTATCGATAATTTTTATTTTTTTAGATTTGTATATATGTACTAGCAGGTATTTCGTTAATTCGTCTATGTTTAAATGTTTATAAGACCGTAAAGTGAACAGTATCAAGATTTAAAATATTTCATTACGCTATAAAATTACTGAAGAACACTAGAAAACTACACTAGAAAAAAATCTATTTTTTAATTATTATTCTCATAAATTATAAACCTCATAAAATATAAAATATCGCATTAGGTGATTTTTATTATATTTTATTATTTTCTTAGATTTATTTATGGAATGTATTATATGATTTTTTTTGATTTTTTTTCTGGTCTTATAAGAACTAAGTTACGTTCTTGGTTTATACTGTGTAAAAACTTTCATATGTGTGGTCCCTCTTTCAACCAAAATTTTTCCTTCTCTCTTTGGACAAAACAATTTTCTTTAAAATTTATAATTTAAATTTGTATTTATTACATTATTTTTACTTTATAATATAGGAAAATATTGAAAAATTAATAATGACATCTGAAATAGGACAATGGATAGACACACTATTGGATTATTATTTTTAGACCCACATAGTAACCCACAAGAATCATTATGTTTTGTAAATTATTTTATGTCGGACTGTCCTGATGTTGAAAATTGAAAAAAATATTGTGTCTCCTTAACTGACAAATTAAAAAAATAACAGAGCTTATTTCCACCTCAATATTGGGCTCATGCGTCGACAAATTTGGATAGAACTACTAAAGCTTGCGAATCGTTCCACTAATTTTTCAATCAAAGTTTTTATAAATATACTCCATCGATAATGATCTGGTTAGCTGTCTAAATTAATAAAGTTAAAACAGATATATAAGTCAAAATTAGAAGTATTAACATTTTAAAAACATCTCGTGATAAGAAAAATATAAAACGACAACGACGAAATGAATTTTACATTGAAGACTATAAAAATAATAAAATAAGTCGTTATGAATTAGGCAAATAAATATCAATAAAATGCTGTCTTAAATTTTTAAAACTGTTTTAGCCGAAAAAGGAACAATGCATTTTGGCCAAAAAAGGTGACGCCCTTTCATATGTACCTTTTTCCGCCATGTATGAACCAACATATTTATTTTTTTTATCTACTAGGTCTTGTTTAGGAATTTAAATTCATCCGTTCAAAATTATGTTATGTTCATTTAAATATAATATAAGTAGGTACTAATTTATACTTCCAATTTATAGTCTTCTTACTGGAATGACCTACCGGCGAATTACTCCAAATATCCTAAATAAAACATGGTTCAATAAATTACATCTACATAGACCATATATTGTCAAATTTAATTATTTACGTATTGGACACAACCTATTATCTAGTCACTCATTTAAACTTGACCTAAATGACTCTATTCTGCACTCTTCATTTAAATGAATGTATCTGTGACCTTCCACATATTTTATTTGATTGCCCTGCTCTTCAAGATAAACGCCAAATCTTAATAAATTCTCTTTAAATTCACAACATTTGTTTTACTCTCCACTCCATACAGAATAATAAATTTGAAACTACTATAAAATTATAAACTCTTTTATTTCGGAAGCTGGCTTTAAAATATAAAATATTTATATATTAATATTTTTAATAGTTGAGCTATCATAGTTTTTTTTACTAAAAGCTATTAATAATAAAAAAAAAAGTTGGTAATAATACTATTTAAAATAAATAATTAATTTCTGTTAAATAATTAATATATTCTTACCATATAATTGCAATTGTACTATAACTAAACAACTTAGTGGCGTTCAGACAATAGAAATGTATGATGTAATGTACCGGATAACACGATCAGTTAAGGAAACTAATGCATCGGCTCACATTGACTTCTTTAATCCGATCAACTGTGTCGGTATAACAGTTGAAATCGAACAATTGAGAACAATAAGAAAACAGTTAAAACATCTAACCCATTAAAAATTAAATGTATATATTAAAATAATGTAATGTATTACGATAAAAATTTGCTTCTAGAATCTTCTAATATTAAATACGTTATTATCATTATTTTAATTGTTTTATACTTATTGTGGAATTTATGATCAAATTGTTAAAATAGTATTATTACGATTTTAATTGTGTGTGGTTTTAAAAATAAAAATGGTTATACAATGTATATATCACATCAAAATCTTATATGACCAAAAATGTCTGCCCTGAATTGATGAACAATGGATTAAATATTTTTTAAATCATAAAAAACACTCATTTAAATATAAAAAGTTAAAAATAAAATTAATCATTTTTTTTACTGAAATTACAGTTTTTTTTTAAAAAAATATAATATTTATATTTTGTTTAATATTGAAAATTATAACCCATGAAAATAAAAAATCCTATGAAAAATTGATTATTAACTTTACTGTGTACTTTCCATAAAACGAAATTAATGCATAATGAGAAAAAAATATCTGTATTGAACATCATTAAAAATGTAAATAATTTTAATAATTTTGCTTGATTTCTTCTAATAAAATAACTTTTCTATCAAAATTTCTCGAATTAAAAATTAGATAACCATGTCATTACATTTAAGCATTTTTATGATTTAAATATATTTCAATTTTAAATATTTCTAGGTTTTAGGATTCTTTAGGGTGCCTTAAGTATTAAAAAAAAAAAAAGATTTTAGCTTATAATTTAAGATTATAATCTTCAATTGTAGTGCTATTATTTTCTAGATAATAAAGATTTAATTTTTCCTTTTTTTATTCGATTTTAATGACTCATTGTTGTGCTAGAGAAATTTAAATAATATTATAAAAAAACTGATTTTTCAGAGTTCTAAGGTTTTGACATTAATGAGTTGGTTGACCCTACGACAATATTTACAGACGTGTTTTAGAGAATGGGAAAGTGTAACCTACGCACAAAAAAAATACACAATATGATATTTTAGCTACTTAATTTTGTTTTATATTCAACTATATATATATTTAAAAAAATTATATCGGAGTACTCTAAATCCACCGTTAATATTCACTTAAAAAAAACTTGAATAACTGTATACATTAGGTAATGTGACTTTCTCTTAAGAAGTTCGTTTGACGATCAAAAGTATTTTTAATTCACGAGGGTTATAAAATGTTATAAGACTTAAAAAAAAAACACTAAAAACACTAAATTTATATTGATTTAAATATACTTGCAACTAATTTACTGTAAAAATGTTTAAATGCATACCTTGTGTATGATAATATCGAATTATATTCCAGTCATAGTTATTAAGATAATAACAATAACAATGATAATAATAGTATTTTTATAAAAAAAAATACCAAATTTAAGAACAATAATGAACATCGAATCTTGCACTAAAATTTACTTCACATTTTTACATTTTCGATAACACGATAAACAATAGGTATTGTTTTTTTTAATATATACGAGTATATATATATATATATTTATACATCTGACGCAATATATTTAAATTTAACACCGATTACCTAATATTTAGAGCAACGTATATTACATTAACACGCATGTACGATTGATAATTATACAGGTGACTAAGGTATTATTTAGGTAGTCTTTTTTTTAGTACTATATAACAAATAATATAGGAGCATATTAAAGTAGTAAAATACAATAAATAATAAAAAAAAAGATTAAATTATTATAAGTACTAAGCCGATGATACAGTTATTGAGACTGATATTAGGTTAATGATATTAGGTGTTCAAAATATTATTAAATAAACGATCGTTTGTTTAAAGTTATGAAAAATTATGATCCACACGTTTAATTTTCAATTTTTTACTTTTTATTTATCTTAAACAAAAATCTATTAAGAATTACTGAATTACTAGTTATAAGTTGATTAACTGAGAATATTCACTAAAAAAAAAAAAATAGAGTGATTTTTAATATTAATCATTATATAGTCTTATTGTTTATGCATGTTCATCCCTTTTTGTGCTTAAATTATTTATTAATCTAATTTTAATTTTTGAGAAACCTACAGTTTTTCTTAAGTACTATATTTTGTAAAACATAGATTTTCGATGACTCTATAGAATATCCTGTGCTAGTCTCAACTTCATTTTTCGAATAGGATCGATTTATTTTTATTTTTTTTTTTAATTAAACATAATAAAAATTAAATTCAGTACTTTTTAAATCATTCAAATTTTAAACTACGCATAATAAAAATAATTATAATCATACATAGATAATAGAAATATCTTCAATGAATTATTCATTGCATGTACAACTTTATCCAAAATTAACAGCCTAGTGTGGTGTACCAAATTACATAACATATAATATTCAATAATAAAACACACCATTTATATAATGGATATTATTATTTATGAAAATAAATGTAACAAAATAATTTAAACAGTGAAAATCTCATCTTAGCAATATCTTGGTAAGTCCAAATGGTATACTTATTACATACTTACAAACAATACTGATATTGAATAATTTTGTTGATGATATTTGATGAGTTGTTCTCGACTTAAAAAATATAAAAACTAATAGGTAGTTCTGATATAATTATAAGTTTAAAGTAGATAGTGCATACGTATGTAACATAAACTTAATATGTAATATAAATGTAATATATTTATATTTGACCACGAGATTAGGTACCGAAATTGTATACAATGAAATCAATGTGACCCATTGTCACGGAAATCTTTATTTGTAACGAACTTTTTGAAACATCCCATCAAATGATCGACATTCGCACATTTCACTCCGTCGACTAAAGCCATATCCCATTCAAAGGGATGATTACAAAACACCCGGTGGTAAATAGATAAATATACGCGGGTGTGCTTGGAAATCGAATCGGTGTTCAGTGAGCACATACACGCGCGTTCGGAACGCGTTCGAAAAATCGAGAACTCGATTCATTCCGAAAGGTCTGTGACGACAACTCGATCCGGAATATGGTGCACGCGCGGACGCGGTTGCGCTTACCTTCGGGCCGGTACACGTTCAGGTACAAACAGTCCTCAGACATCCTGATCCGATCGACGGACGACCCGGACATGGACGTGAACAGTCGGTTGACGGGGTGCGGCCGAGCGGGCGGGTCGGATATGCAGCCGGGCATGTGCACGGACCCGTTGCGGACGTTGTTCCACGAGGGCGGCGGGTCGACTTTGGGCGGCGCGAACCGCAGGTCGCCGACGGGCGGCCGCGCGTATGGTATGCCCAGGTACGTCCAGGCCCGGTGCCCGATCTTGTTGAGCGGCACCTCGACGCCGGCCACGGTGCCCTGCCGGCGGATGTTCACGGCCGGCGCTTCGCGGTAACCGATGCCGCTGCCGGCCCTCTGCGCCGCGACCACGCGGCCGCACACGCACACGCAGACCGCGACGGCCAGCATCAGGGACGCGCAGAGGGACTGCCGCGGTGACCGGTTAGGTGACGACGACGACATAACGTGTGCTGTTCGCGGTTATACCGTTTGCGCGCGTTACGTTCTTAATGGTCTTCTGGTCGTCAGTTCCAGTCCGGAACGAGACGCGTAATGTCGTGTTCGTGAACCGCCGTGAACTGTGCTAGCGACGACGACGGTAACCGCGGAAGGAAAATAAAAGAAAAACCCAGTCCGTGCGTGCTCGCAACAGCACGCGCCGAAACGGTCCCCGCTCTCCGTCCACCGCAACGCACCACTCGCTCTCTCTCCTTCGCCCGCTCTCCGGACGTAATAATGGGCATTTCGCACGAAACACCGACCGAGTCGTATCCCACGGATATATTTCTTACGTATATCACGCTCCTGAGTGTACCCACTGAACATTCAATGTTACAAAACATCGCAGCTACGTTTAATTCCTTTGCGTCGGTCTAATTACTCCTTAGATCAGTGCCGTATTTTCAATTTTTTTCTATGGGTGGGAGGGAGTCCAATAATTCCGACATAATATAAGTACTGTTATAAATATAACAGTAATAATAATATATAGTATTATGTATAATAGTTTTTTAATAGATTAAAAGAATAAAAAAAAATAGTTGTTTTATTATATTTTATAATTTTAAAGCACAAAATCCAAGCGTCTTTTTTTTTTTTCAAAGTTCTTCTAAAATGTCTTTTGGTAAGAGAGAATCTTTTCTATAAATGGACATCATAGCCAATCCATTAAGTCTATTCTAGGAAAAGAAATTGAAAATTGTTTTCAGGGTTTTTTTAGTGTCAATTTTTAGTTTTTTTTTTTTTTTTTTTTAGGTGTTCTGGGAGGGCAATACCCCCTGGATCTCCCCCCCGTAAATACGCCACTGCTTTAGATATGCATGTGATTTAGTATAAAAGTATTACGTCTTAGTTGACCGAATTGCAATTGATTATGCCATAATCATTATGATAATGCGTTGTCAAGTTTTTCTCATAATTATTAATAATAATTTTATCTTTGACATGGTATTATCATTGATTATAAATTAAATGTATTATTTTCGAGAAAAAAAAAAACCCTCTGAAAGTCACCGATAAAAACAGATAGATAGGTACATAATTATCGTGATAATACCAAAAACATATGAAGTGACTTTGTTTCACGCCTCTCCAAAATCGTTTCTAGCTTATAATCGTGTACATTTGTAACTTGTTCTATAATTCAAATCATAGCACTCTAGGAACGGACAATTCGATCCTTGATTCATACTAGTTTGAAGTTTAGACTTTACAATATTTGGCTTAGAAAAAACTCACTAATGTGAACAATCTGTGACAGATATTAAATAAATATATTGTTTTATAGAAAATAATAAAAATATGTGCCCTCTCTCAGATTTATTTAACCATTGAAGCTATTAAGTTATAGTTACCGTTGATGAATCTCAAAGCAATTCTGTGTTATATTTTTATTAGTCTGATTTTAGTTTTTAGTTCATCAATACTAATATCGAGTTGACTAACTTCTTGAGTTACCTACTTGATTAAAACGTGAATTTAAAAATGTCACCTAATGTTACAAAATTACAAGAATACTTAATTTCTTCTTTTTTAAATTCTGTAATATATTAGGTATTTTCATTATGATCAACTATACCATTATAAAATTGTTCATTTTGAAAATTTTGAAATCTTTATATTAAATTCAACAAAAACTTTTAATGTATCATCAAATATTACTTCATACTACAGGCATTGATATTATGAGTAGATCTAAATTGTTTGCCTTGTTTCATTAGTGGAGCACAAATGTAATTTGGGTGCAAGCTTCTTAAAAGGATTATTTATTATATATATATATATATATATATATATTTATTATATATGTTATATATATTATTTATATTAACTGGTAGTGTAGATTCCCCGACCTCACTCTCATTTATTAATTTTAGAGTCTCACAACGCACCTCTCGTTCCACGACTTCTTTCCATGTACCTCTGTGTACCACCAACTACTTATCTAACGAGCCATTAAAACGTATGATGTCTAATGCCAATACGGACCCTATCTTTCTTATTTACCCATCTACTTCATAAATCAGCATTGTTATAGTCTGCATCGAAACCGATTTTTATTGTATAATACTTTTTATATCATTATCTTTATTCTCTATATAGTTAGTTCTTAATAATTCTTTGTTATTATTATTATTGTTTTTTCTTTTTGTTGACAATTAATTGTTAAGTTAACCTATTATTTTTATTTGTAATTTTCAAAAGGGCTCAGCCCGTACATATTTTAAAATAAAATAAATTCAATAACAGTATTTTTCCCATGCGCATGCGCATGTCAGTGAACATTATAATAATATATACATACATATACAGCGATAGAGGTTATATAACGAATATTTATTGTGGGTTATAAGTAATAACTTTTTGCTAATAAATAATAGAAAGTAATGACTCTAAAGCAGCTTCGATAACTAATAAGTTGTCTTCTGTAGATCGGAAAAAAGACAATGGGAGGGGATATAACCCCTAACTTCCCCTCCCTTGAGCAAGCCACTAACCGCGAATATACCTAAATCCAGTCTGGACCAGTGCTGGTGAACAAGAAAAGTATTACGTGTCATACTGATAAATACTAATAAATGATTTTATTTTTTATCAGAAACTTGAACTTCTAGTGATCACGTTCCTACTTCATACTTCATACTATAACGTTAGCTCAACGCTCCATTCAGGACCTATGCTGATATCAAATATCTCTCCATCTATTGCTTTGATATACGTTGTCTGTAATTACGAGGTCTAGTCAAACATCAATAAATCTTTTATTACTAAATCATCAATACATCAAGTCTTAAACCATCCCAGAAGTCTTGTTTTATTTATTTTGTTGGTAAGTGCCTATAATTTTAAATTAACTGAGCGTCCGATCCCACATGCATGTCCAATATTCAAACTGTTATTATTATTTAATCCTAATAAGAGACGGTATGCTTATTTTATATCCAATCTTTTTATATTTATGTTGCTACATTTCGACCTATACCGGTAAATAATAAGCAATATTGTGTACGGTTTGCTGTTGCAAGCCATAATCGATTTATTATAGTCATTTTATTAAATTCTACAGTAATAACCGACAACGTTCGAAACATTTTCATAAAGTGATTATTAACATTGATATAATTATATTATCCTACAAATTAATGTTCATAGTAGAAACACTCAGCTGTGGGAACCAGAATTAAGAGTCGAAAAAATACAGGAACGCATAAAAGTGTGCTAATAATTGTATTTTTAATATGATTTATGTGACTGAGTTGACCCTCTGACATTGATAATTAAATATAAAACTACTACTTCTTCAAACATTGTGATTCAGAAAAACTCTAACCCTATCATACCCCTCCCCTTTTAATTCAAATGCCTAGTAAAATTAAAAAAATATAAAGCTCTCGTGTTCAAAAATGTCTAGAACCTTTGTGTACTTCATACCATGTATTTATACATAAATATATAACTATACCTACTATAGAAGTTCGTGCTCTTTTTTTCTATTTTTTTCTACTGCTCTTAACCACACTTTTTCACTAGCTCACCACCGACGATGCCGTTTCCGGAATCTTAACACGTTATTATACAAAGAATATATTATAAAAGAATTATTTTATGCATATTTTTCCATCGATAACAACTACGACTACGAGCGTGCGTGTGTACTAAATAATACTTATAAAAATATTTTCGCTTTGTGCGTGAACGAGTGATAACCATTCTGTGTACAGAGTGTTTTTTCATTATTGATTGACTCTCATTTACAAGGGTAACGTTATCGTACTATTCCAAGTACACATTCCGAGTGCAATACGATTTAATAACAAATTTTTTCCAAGTTTTTCTTAATAAAATAACTAAGACAAAATACATAGTACCCTACAAATTCTAATTCAAGAGTATTTGTATTATAAAATTGTACATATCATATAATTTTATATCTAATGAAGCAGTTATTTTTTTACAATGCAATTTACATAAATATTTTAATATATCATAATTTTTTTTTTTTTTTTGTATTTACCTCATAAGTTATAATTAAAGATCATAAAATAAGATAAAAATTTGATGTGTAAAAATTTAAAAATTCACTTAATAAATATTACTAAACATGTTTTCATAACTGATGAAATTTACCATATCGCCAAGATCTTTCCCTTGACGAACAGCTTTGTGCCACAAAAGCCCATTCATATTTAAAACAGTATTTACCTGCTAAGCCCCACAAATGGGGATTCAAGCTTTATGTTTTATGTGATTACAAAGGCTATGCATATAATTGTGAAATATACACTGGTCAAGAAAATCAACCCAGGTTTCGTTTACCTTCAGAACCAGATTTAGGATCAAGCTCCAATATAGTAGTCCGTCTATCAAGAGAGGTACCTGAATATAAAAATTACAAAATTTATTTTGATAATTTTTATACTAGTGTCCCAGTTATGGATTATTTACACAGCAGAGGTATATTGAGCTTAGGCACAGTACGCACTAACCGATTACCAAACTGTAAATTAAATGATTCAAAAATGCAAAAAAAATTGTCAAGAGGAAAATCTGTTGAATATATTTCTTCATATAAAAATACACCTATATCAGCATTAACATGGAAAGATAACAAGCCTGTAACATTATTGTCAACTTATGCTGGAAAATTACCTGAAACTATAGTAAAAAGATTCAATCGCTCTACAAAAAGTAAAATTGAGGTAGCTTGTCCATTTGTTGTAACTGAATACAATCTCCATATGGGGGGAGTAGATTTATTAGATTCACTCATAGGGAGGTACAAAATAAAAATGCGTTCCAGAAAGTGGTATATTCGTTTGTTCTACCATTTCATTGATTTGACAGTTGTAAATTCATGGTTATTATATAAGAGGGTCAAAGAAGAACAGAATTTACCTGTGCAGTTTGAGCTAGCTGACTGGAGAAAGAATATAGCATACTCATTAACAAAATCAGAAGATTTCAAGAATCAAAGAGGACGTCGTTCTATATCTATAGAAACTAGAAGAACTTCGACAAGGGCTTTGGCTATGCACCCAACTCGGGCAGTTAGAACTGATGGTGTTTGACATTCTCAAATAAGGGCTGATAAACGAGGAAGATGTAAATTCCCAAAATGTAATGGATACACCTGGATACAGTGTAACAAATGTAATATTCTTTTATGCAACTCAAAGACTAAAACATGTTTTAATAGATATCATGATGAATAATCTGTGATAAAAATGTTATTTAATTTTGTTGTATTATTATTATTTTAGTTATTCTGTTATTGTTTTATAATTCACAAGTATTTCAAAAGTGATGAATTTATTTTAAAAGTTGAAGTTTTTATGTTAATTTTATTATTATTATATATTATTTAATATTTTAAAAGTTTAATTTATTGTTATTATAATACAATTAAAATAATTATTATTTTTTACAATTAACATAATAATTTATGAAATACAAATATATATGGTTGCTATTGATTATGACAAAAGTGAATTATTCATGTGAAAAAAAATGTAGGTGTTATAAAATTTATTGATATCATTTTTGCCCACTGTTGCAAAAATGCAACATACTTAAAAACTCAATTTTGAGTTTTAAGATAGAGTTTGTGATTTTTTTCATTATTTTTCCTGAATTGCTGGTATGTTAATTAGTTTAAAAAGATTTATTTAAAAAAAAAAAAAATCGGGCATTGAAGGGTTAAAAGATGGAAATTTGTTTAGTGCTTAAAGTGGCACAATGGTTAAATCCGGCTTTGCCAATTCCTCCAATAACGTCAATGCCGTTGCCGTAATTGATTCAATATTTGTACGTTGTCGTTTATGATCAAAATAAAATATATAAAGAAATTAACGGAAAAAAAAATTGATTATTTTTATGAAAAGCATATTTAGCTAACTTGTTTAAATATGAACAGCCGAATAAGACCCGAAGTGTGTACAACAAACATTGCACGTTCATACCCTTGAAGGATGTACTTCACCTGCGGTATCGGTCAAGCGGGAAATATGCAAATTTTCGCAAGGTGCATGGACAAACAACCACGATATTATAATATGATGACAACGTGTAATCGTCGTAATTGCGTTTGCGTCCACCCGTGGCTAATTATTTCCCTCCTTGACCTTGCCGCGGTCACGTACGGCCGTTGTACCGGACTTTGGCCCACGGGAAAAGTTTCATTACGGGGGCGGCGGTAGAAACGATTTACAATACGATTCACACGCGTGCATTTAAATGGTATTACACCGCACGGATAAGCCTCTCATGGGACCAAATTCAGGATGGGAGCAACGGTCGTGTATCATTTTTTAAAATTGAAAATATTTTGACAAATATTCCCAGTTCCAATGAGAAAATATTTAAAGATAAATAAAAATATGTCTCAGAAAAAAATTAAGGATATACAAATATTAAAACTTACTCTGAGGTTATGACAGGAAATCAAAATGTTAATTTAGTTATAACACCAAATTTTTTAAATTAATTGAAATATGTAACGATAACAAGTGTAGACTTTGAACGTATTTTTTCATTACATAAACATATTTTAAGTAACAGACAATACAATTTTCAAGAACACAATTTAGAGATGTATATAATTATAAATTTTTATTCAGAAAAATTATACATTTTTTAAATAATATATTTATGTCCATGATATTATTTAAGTAAGTAATTAATGATTATATATTTGATATTATTTTACTATGTAATTTTAATGTATTTTTCATTACAATATTAACATATTTATACTGCAACTTTAAGATATTTTTAACGATATTTTATATTATAAGATATTTTATCCGGTCGAGCATGGCCATTTTCGACCAAAAACGTACCCTTCCCTTTTCGGCCGATTCATTTTTCAACTAAATTTAAAATAGGCCGATTCCCTTTTCTACCAAAACAAAAATGTATATAATAAATTTAAAATAATAAAATAATAATGTATAATTTTTGTCAATACCTAATTATTAAAATATTAATATAAAAGAGAACTATATTTTGTATTTAGTTTTGATCTCTTATCGTAATGAAAATTGTTTGCATTTTTTTTTCGAAAAATCGGAATTTTAATTTTAAAAATGTTAGAACTTCACCCGTTACACCTGCCGGCTCCACTCACAAACTTGAGTGCCAATGTGTAGCACTTTTCGGGGGAATGTGGCTTCGCCCCAAGGGGAATTATAGTCTAAGCCTAACCTAGTTTTTATACAAACCTTGATACTGTTTCAAATGGGATTATACTCTGTATGTGAACCTAAAACCTCGCTACGCGAGTAAAACCCTGAATCATCATTAATATATACATAGGTATAATAATATATATTATAGTAGTTTTCATCATAACCAAACATTTTATATCATTATTTTATTATTTTAAATTTGTTATATAAATTTTTGTTTTGGTCAATAAAGGAAACGGTTTATTTTAAATTTGGTCGAAAAGTAAATCGACCTATTTTATATTTGATTGAAAAGGAAAGAGTACGGTTTTGGTCGAAAACCCACCTAGCCACGTTTAGCCCACCTGGTCTTTACCTATAAGCAACCCATCGTCACATACTGAGCTACTCTGAAGCTATTGCGAAGCGACGAAATCTTTTTAACCTTCTAAATTAATAATAATCAAATAATATATTAAATAAAATTTATATTTGGTTATTATTATCATGGTTATTACTCGATTACTATTAATATTATTAAAGTTTGGGTGCATTACGTCGTAATAAATTCAAGGCGAGCAATTATGCATATAAATAAATACAAAAAAATAATATAAAACAATTTGTAGTATCTAGGTATTTTATACACAAATGTAATATTTTACATTATACTCATTGAAGATTCGAAGTCATTAAAACTTATGTTTGTTATTAATAATTAACATTATTTGTTATAAATATAGAATAATTATAATGTTATAAATTGATTGCTACCGTCCATATATTAATGTTTATGTTAATTTGAAAAACGATTATTTTTAAATTAGTGCATTCTAGTATACTACTAGGTATCATGTATAACTCAAAAATACGTAACCCAAGGGACCTATTATTTATACTCTATAATGTATACTAATCAAAATATCCCCATAGTAAACCTTACAACTCTAGAGACATATGCAGACAATACCGCTATACTAGCTTTAAATAAAGATCCAAACATACCCACTCATGATATGCAATACCATTTAAATAACACTTCCATCAGGACTAAAAAATTGGAAAATTAAAATAAATGAAAATAAATCAGTTCAAATAAATTGTTCTCTTAGTATAAACTATAACCTAACTTAACCTAACCCACAGCTATCGCTCAATAATGTACAAATTCCTATCAAAAATGTAACTAAATACTTAGGAGTTCATCTGGACAAAAGACTCACGTGAGCCCAACACACTAAATATAAAAGAAAACAATCAAGTACACACCAACATCTTGGTCCATTATTGTCTCCTTCAATGAGCTTAATAAACAAATTATTAATATACGAGATATAATAATATAAGATTATTATCCTCCTTTGGTCAAATGGTATTCAAATCTGGAGCCAAGTTAAATCATATAAAATAATACTCATACAAACTTTCCAGTCTATATATCTAAGAAAAATAACTGAAGCCCCATGGTATATGATCAACGACGCACTACATTAGAATCTACAAATCTCAACAGTCAATAAAATAGCAACTCGACACTACAAAAGTTCCACTCAAAACTTCATTCAAACCAAAATCCTCTTATTTCTCGTATATCCTCTTCAACCATGCCCAGCAACCTTTTAAGGAGATTAGAAAAAAATGGCCAAGAGATACACTTACCTAACAAAAAAACAACAACTGTTTTCTCAAATAAACCTATTAAATTAAGGTACTGTTGACTGTTTTCTATCCTCAAACCAATCAAATCATCTTTTTTATTATTATTATTATAAACTATCTAATTTACTAACATATATGTATAAATTATAAGTACAGCTTTTATTAATAAAAAAAACTACTGAAAAATTGCTTAAAATAATTTTAAAAAATTATATTTTATGGTTATTCTGTTTGAGTCTCTCTTTCTGTCTACCAAACTCGCAACATGGGGTTTCAGATTTTTATATTTCCAACTCAGAAATCGATCTATTGATGCGATAAGGATTTTGATAACTAATTTGAATTAGTTAAAAGCCTACTTTAGATTAATATTCCCACTATTTTGAATTTGTCTCTCAAAATTTCACAAAATAGAATTAAGCAAATTAGAAGTACACAAATATACAAAAGTTTATAATTTGGTATGTTAAATGCAACACTAAAAATAAATAGAAATCCCCATAAAAGTTAAGCTATAGGTATCACATTTCTAAAAAATAACTATTTTTTTTTATATCGTAAGTATAAAGATATACGTTTAAATATATTTGAAAATTTTAAAATAATACAAACATTATAGTACTTTAATAAATATATTATAACAGAAAATTTAATAAATGTCTGGTAAACAATTTTCGTTTTTTTCATTTAATAGTTGTATAAGAAGTATCTTATTAAAATGCAATGGTAAATCCACGATGTCATTTACTGCATTCATAATGTTAAATATTTCTAAGCATTTATCCTCGTAAAATTGGCAATTCTCATAAGAATTCTCTAGAATTCTTCTAATGAGTTAGAAACATTCTGAAAAAGAAAAAAATTAGAATACTAATTTCTGTCACTGCCTAATGATTCATATTCTTATCATAAAACGATATCTCATATATGAAGTATGATATTTTGTTTTTCAAAATACAACATCATAGATAGTATAAATTTTTATTTTTGTAATTTATAAAACATCACTTGCAAGCAAAAGGTTATTTCTAATATTCAGTCTATGAGGTTTTTCACATGTTTAAGAAAATAATAGTACCAAATACCAATAATAGTACTCGTATTTTTATATACATTTTTACATAAAAAACTATTTTGTAAATGATAGTATGCACTATGTCATAGATAACATAAATTTCATTGTAAAATTGCATACAATTCAAAAATGACTTGTGTACACCAAATCTAAACTGCAAAAAAAAAAAAAAAGAATTTGATGTCAATATTTTCAGAGTAAAAATAAATGAAACACATGTTATAGATATATATATATATATATATTTTATTAATATACAACTGATCAGAAATCATATTCATGTATTTAAATCAAATAATACAAATAAAAAGAAACAAAAAGGAACCTTATACTCTATATCTGTATACATTTTGATTTACATTATGTACACAATACATTACCATATTGTTCGTGAAAAATAAAAAGAACGAGTATAAAAATGAGAGGGCTTAATACAAAATTAATTAGATTTATTTATTTTTTCAAACTAACTTTATCATTTATAGTACAAATTTTTACACATTATAAATATTAATACAATACTAATGTATATGATCACAGCATATGTCAATCATGTATAATTATGACAAACCTATTGTAATAAGGATACCTATTTTTCATTGTTTTCAAAATTAACCTATGTACAACTACATAAACCATTAATATCAAATGAGCTGAATGTTAATATCATTAAAAATTATAATTGTAATGCATATATGTTACAAATGTTATGTGTCTTAAAAGGTTCATGACCAGTACATCAAATTTGGTAGGAATCAGAAATAATTTCATTGACTTAATTATATTCTAACAATTATTCAATAATATAATAGATTAGTATGTATCTAGAATACAATAGAAAATAATTCATGATATATGAATTTTAAAAACACCCTATACTGCATTTATTAGAAGTAAAAAAGGAGGCCAAAAAAAAGCAACACATCACACTGTTTAATAACTTATACAGACATAATTTATAAAATATAAATAAAAATGGCAATAATTGTACAATTTATAAATATCAACATATTATTATGAACTGTAAAAAAAAAACATTTAAAAACCGGAAATGTAAATTGCATTGAAATATAATAAACAAAATAATTGATTACTTTACTGGCCACCTTCATGTTTGATTAAAAATTATATTATTAAAATGTGTTCTCAATTAATAATATAAAATCTATAAATATAGACTAATATATTCTAATATTCAATAATAGTTAAGTAAGAAGAATTAAAGTATTAAGTATATTAGTTCTTTATCAGAAATCAGAAACATTCAACAAGACTATAAGCATTTAAAAACTATAACATTTCAACATATTGATCTTTGATTGAGATTAAATAATCAAATAACATAAATGATTTATTTTTTAATATTTGAGGTTTGTAAAAACATTTTTAATGTTAAACATTTTAAGTATTACGGGAAATAAATCACATACAAAATTATAGAATCTGTTTTAAACATTTCTATATATTTGAATAAATAGCCTACTTCAATATAACACTCATAAGTTTGTATAAATTTAATAAAATGCTTCAAAAGCACAAGTATATAACAAAGTACATGAGTATATACTTATTTGATATTGTTTTTTAAATGTCATGTAATCTGTTAAAATATTTAGTCCATCCATATTTCAAAATATCAAGTGTTAGAATTTACTTCTTTCCGCCAACAATTTTATACTCCTTTATAAGAATTATCTTTGCAATGGATTATCTTTCTAATGTGTTATTCGAAATAATTATCAAAATAATATCTTGTCATTAAAATACATTATAATTATTAAACATAAAGTAAAATAATTAATATTTAAAATTATAATTTTTTAATATATTAAGAAAATCTCAAACTAACATAACATAAATTATAATTAAATCTTCGAGAACTTATTAATTTGTTTTTATTAACTCGTTGTTTAATTTTGAAAATGGAATACATTACAAAAAATGGAGGATCATGCTTATGAGGTGATTGGATTAATTGTTTAAATAAAAAATAACCAGTTATTTAATTAAGATGAGTATTACAATTTTTTATTGCAGAATGATTTTATTATAAATAATTTATACTTTATTTTAATAACAGAAATGTTTACAGGGCTGTAATTGGTAATAAAACCTACAAACTGAACAGCCAGTCTCAACTCTCAATCAGTCTCAATTAAATTATGTGAATGAAAATACTAAATTATAAAAATTCACAATATTTTGGAGAATAGTAAGTCTACAAAGAAGCATTAAAAGATAATTATGAAATAATCATATAAATAATAAGCTATCATTAAATCATGGATTTAAATTGCACAAATAGTGGATTATAAATTTTGTAAAATAAATCAATATTTAAACATTTTAACCACTAACATTAAAAACTATGAGAAATAATTTAATTTCATTAAAAAAAAAAAAAATTCTCCAAAAATATTATACTTATTTGCTCCATAAATTTATAATTAATTTTAACAGAAATCTTACTAAATTATTTGAGATTATCATAATGTATGAAAATGTCAAATATCTTTATTAATAATAAATAATAATATAAACAAATTTTGATTTTTTAAAATTAACAATTTTAATGCATGTTCTGAGGGTTAATTTAAATATATAATAAACTAGGCTTTTTTTTTTAGTAATTATTACTTATTTTCATAGTTGATAATGCAATAAAATTTTACAATGAAACACTTTCATGTTCAATAAATACAGAAACATTAAAAAATGTTCAATTATACATGTGTACAATTGAGAGTTTAGATTTCAAAAATATTGAATTTAAATATAAGGTAACACAATAAACATTATAACATTATTTAAATCGAATGCAAAGAGAAATTTGGAAAATCAATTTTGTAATTTATTAAATTATTATAAATGACATCTTATTTTATTTTCTAGTTTTATTTTAAAAAAAATTACAAATATTGTCAAAAAAGCTGCCATTTATATAACTAAAATGGATTTTAAATGAATAAATGATTTTATTCACCCAACTATTTATTATTGCAAGTGTTTATATCAATTTTATTTATTAATATCTTTAATTATTGCTATCATTAATAAGACTAGACAATATTTTATAAGATTTTGTTATATTAATTAACTAAAAAAAAAAATAAATAGGTACCTTTACTAATTTAAATTGATAAAATAAAATTTGAGTGTTGTATTTTTTTAGCCTGATTTATTATCCACTTATGAAATAATAAAATTAGAATTACATATAATACATTTACATCAAAATAAATAATTTATAATTGAAAAATGGGTTGAGACAATAGAATCAAGACATTCATAGTTGTAGAATAAAAATTATGGGATTTATAAATCATACTCATAAAGAAGTATTGTGTCATATTTTAAGATCTTAAATACAATATGAGCACTTGGTTAAATTGTAGTTGTAATAAGTTTTTAATGGATATCATTGTATGCTTTCTTATTAGAATCTATTAAAAAAGTAAATTTTCTGTAAATAACAAATCAGTATGGGTTTGATCATTTATAACCTATTTAATTTCAAATTAAATGCATTTATATAAATCCTTAATGTAACTTTAATGGAAATATGTTTAAGGTTCAGCAGTATAAAAGTATATTTACATCAATGAAAGTTATTAATAGGTACCCTCCTAAAAGGCTATCAACATTCATACGAATAATGTTGAATATTTTGGGGGTTAAACACATCATTTTGTTCAGGTTGCAAATGACACACAACTGTTTGCCCATCTAGTACAGCAATCGTCCTAGCAGTTTGTTCTTTAAGTTGTTGCCTAAATGCTGCATTAAGAGCTGTATGGAAATTATGAGCTTCTGGATTTTGAGTAGGAGCCATAATAAGTGGCCTATGATCTCCATAACTTTTTGATGACTGACGACTCATATCACTGTTTCGTCGACCATCTTCATCGCTTAAATCAGATACAAGAGCAGCTTGTTCTCGCTCTCGTTCACGTTCTCGTTCTATTTCTTCATAAACTGGATCATCTATTCCAGCAGAAGCAGATATACCACCCATTATTTCAGAATATGTGTGGTTCCATGGACTGGTGGCTCGAACGCCACTCACACCAATGTACTTTTTTGATGAACAATTATTATCAACAAAACCATCACCAATAGTATTACATCGAAGTGAACACATTTTAGGTTCCCCACGATTAGTATGTACATAAGGCGGTTTATTTAGAGTGAAACAGTTATCTTGTATATTAGGTTTACTCTAAACAAAACGAAAAATTGTTTATATTAAATTTCATAAGTAAAATAGATTAATTATAAAATAAAGATAATATATAAATATATATATATATATATACCAGTGATGACTGTTTATGAAGAGTACCACTAAAAACAGCATTATTTTTTGGCAATTTAGTTCGCGTATAACTTTTTTGACAAGAACGTGAGTATGGTAACGTTGCACCACAAATGCCAGATTTATGATCTTCATTTGACAAGGAGTTTTCTAAACTTGGCAGGTCTATTTCATTTTGAATATCAACAACTTTAGTTACTGCATGTCTCTCGTGAGGTTGATGAAATGTCTGTAAAAAAAAAAATTAAAAAAATACCCAAGCATATTTTTAATTGTTTTTTTCTTTATAAAAATGTTATTAATTTAATTAAACTAACATTCATTCGATGAGATGACAGAGATCGTGGGGTTGAAGACTCAGCTATACTGCCTTGACTGTTTTGACCAACTGATGTACCATACAAACTAGTTCTCTGATTTTTATAATTTAAATCCAACTCTGGGGTAGAATTTAATAAACAACATTGCCATGGTAAAAATGAAATTATAGTTAACTCAGAAAATACCTTATACACCTAGAAAAGTTAATAAACATTTATTCTATTTTCAACTATTACATTCAAATTTATACAACTTACTGAATTATTTTTAATGCAGTAAAGTATAATAATTAACAATCCCTGTGAACAATTTACTGCAGAAAATAAATACAACATAAATGTAGAATATGATGCTATGTAAAGAAATGCTAAAGTCCATGTTAATGTTATGAAAACAAACAATAAAATTGCACTTTTTAACCACATTCTGTAAAAATATTAAATACAAAAAAATGTTAATATTAATATTTTATCATTATTACCGAAAGAAACTTACTTCAAAGATGTTATTTTTACATTTTCTTTACATTTGATAGACATCATAGTGGAATTACTTTTGATTATATATAATGATAAACATAAAAAGACTAGATTTACCTATACAAAAAAAAACATAAAATAATATATATATTACATACATTTTTAACATTATTATAAACTATAAGTAATAAAAAGTTTTACTTACAACAACCACAAACATTATACTATAAATAATAATAGTATTGGCTTGAAGGCAAAAAGAATTATTTGTACTATAGATAATAGGATCCATATAACAAGCTACAATAACAACTGTTAATGGAATTCCATAGCCAATCAAATAATATAAACGCATTTGTAATTTTTCTGAATCAAATGCTTCAATTAATGTAGCATACAAATGGAATCCTATAAATAATAAGATAATTTAATGAAGTAATCATTAAGTTAAATACTTATATATTATATGGGTATGTTCTAATTATTATATCACTAAAATTTTACTTGTTAAGATTTATTTTAATATGATTTATAACTATTCAAATATAATTACAACTTGACAATATCACAGTACAATAAAAATATATTACTAAAGATAAAATACAAAAATAATAATAAAAATTTAAAGATTTAAATTTAAATTTATTAGAAGTTTATTTTAAAAACATTTAGTTCGAACAAAATACGGATATTATTTAATAATCAATAAACATATGAAACCCAAAATAGTTGAACCTAAGCTTGAAAAGTACTTAAGTACATTATTAGTTTTAGAATGATTAAATATTAAATCAATATTGTATAATTAAACTAAAATGATTGATCACTAATATTGATTTACCTTCAATTAATGTCCATGTAAAAGAACATAATAACAGAATATGTAAAATAGCAGCCATTATTGTACAAATGAATACGATATTCTCTTGTGTTATTCCAAACATGAAAAAACATTCAACCAAAAAGAGGCAGAAAAACACATTTTTCAAAATCACTGTTCGATTTGACTGAAAATTAAAATTAAGATACATTAAAAACATTTTGTCTTTTAAAAATATTTAACTTTAAATATACTTACTTTAACAGTTAGCTGAAGAGTAATAGCAGCCAAAAGAAAACAAATTCCAGAAAATATACAACTAACATACATAGCCATGTTATTTGATGCAATTCTTAAGGATTCACTATCAGCATTTTTGAGGTCCATTAGTATAGCAAAATTTGTTAAATGATTACATTGACATAATGTATGCGTTTGATTAGAATATATAACTGAACATCCTTCTTCAGACCATCCACTGTAAAAATAAATAAATAATATTTATAAATAGTTCAATAACATTTAAAACAATATTATATTATGCACCATAATTAACTAACCTAAGCTCATACTATTAAAAAACATAAATCTATAACATATTTACATATTTTTTTTTGTTTTGAGAGTTTTATAACCAAATTTATATATAATATTAATAACATAACATTCAAAACAATAAATTTATTTTTAAATCAATGTAATTTGTGGTGGATTACATACTAATATTAATAAATATATATACAAACATAATAAACATTTATAAGAAGTGTAAAAAATAAAATGAATACATACTTTTCTGTATAATCCCAAAAAACACAAGTAGGATTACTAACATTGTCGATCTGAAGATGTTGAAAACATAATGTGACCGGTTGATGTAACTGAATATGTTTTCCTTTGCCAAGAGATGCAGACACAATTTTGCTATTTATAATACGCATACCATTAGCCATTTGAGGTTGAAGTATATTTTCTAAACTATCAAATGCTATATAAACTAGTCTTATATATCCAGATTCACTGTTTTCAAGTAAGGCTGATTTATGTAACTGTAACCAGGTATTATTCATAAAAATTCCATTCTCATGTGGATGTGGAAAAACTTCAGTATCAACATTGTTTGTAGCTATAACTCTTATGCTCAACACTAAAAAAGATACATACATTACATTAATTAATCATACATTAATATGAGATTTTACTAATAATGAATGTTCAGTTACTTACAGATATTTGGAACATTATGAGTAATTGTTTTTTCTTTTATTAAAATATCAGCAAGAAGAAATGAATTTTCTTCTAAGCCAATCAATAAATTTGTAGCTACACGCATTTGTTCACTAAATGGTAGATCCTTCCAAGAAGGATATTGAGATGAATTAAGCAAATTACTTCCAATCCGCACAACATATTGTAACAAATCAAAAACCATAGCTTCTTGCTGTTGCTTGTCTGGGAACGTTACCATATCTTTTTCCATTTTTTGAGCAACATCTCTTAACATTTTTGTTGTTGTCATCATGTCACCACCATATAAAGGTTTACTGTCAGTCACCTTTTAAACAAATATAACATTAAAACAATATTCAATGTATTTCAACAATTATAGTTACTTCATAAATTTTGTAAATATAAATAAATTTTTACATCAGTTCATACATAAGTTTTTCAATATTATACAAAACTATGCTGAAGTTGAATTTTATTCAACTATATATAATGTAATAATAATAATTGTATATACCTGAGAGAGATCGTTGGCAATATTAATAATAGAATCTCCTTGATGAAGTCTACCTTCTAAGCTTGATAACCATACAGAACGACACTCAGAAAGATCTGGAGTAGGAGGTGACCTAAATGTCACTCCTTTAATAAAAGTCTGACATCGCCATCTATAAAATATAAATAAACAAAAAAGTATTTTAAATATTGATGTAATGGCAATTAATAATTTATAATAATTATACCTTGCTACACCAGCAGCACCACCAGGACATGGCTGAACAGCTTCTTCTCCTGATTTAGTCCAATTCCAAAATAAACTTCTTGACGTTTCAGGAGAACACGACATATCATCTATTCCTTCAACATCAATTATACTTAACTGTGGTGGTAAATCACTAGTAGGTACAATCCATTCAGTCGTAACTGCACCTGCTACAATTTTTAAAGTATAATAATTATAATACAAATTTTACATATTAATTTAATTATTTGACTAGAATTATAATAAAAAAATAAAACAAAATCAGTTAATGTATAATAAATTTAGTTTCGATTAATTAAAACATTTTTTAATGTTTACTTCGTTTTTAATTTTAAAATATACAATAGATTTACATTTATAAACTTTTTTAAAAGTTTAAAATAATAACATATGATTAAAAATAATTTATTATCATTCTGATCTTTCTCTCTAAGAAACAGATTTACAAAATGTAGACTAATATATGTTAATATAAAAATTAAAAATAAAACATATAACATTCAAAAATAATTTTAAATTTATAACAACTATTAATATTATTAACAAATAAATATCACTCACTTGATCGTAAATGTTGTTCGTTATCAGTCTTAGTATTATTTTCTTTATAATTATTAATAATGGAGTTTTCTGATGTAGCTGCTGTACTTGTACTTGTAGTAGTTGAAACTGATACGGGTTCTTCTTCAACACTAGACTCAACAATATCATCTGACTGTGGTGATGATAACATTGGTGGAATTGGTGTTGCCGGTTTAAGAGTTAATAACTTATCCGCATTCCAAACACTGGGTTGTGATGTTGTAAACCATGGAGGGTTTGGCCTTAGTGTTGTAGTTGATAAAGATGCTAAATAAATGTAACAAGAATATTTATAGAATAAAAATAATTTAAGAATGAAAGTAGGTATTATATTTTATATTACCAGGAACACAATGATATTGTGCCTCAAGATATTTCATAGTACCAGGGCACGGATCAGAAAACAAACTTGTATTTGCTTGAATACTGCAATTCCTTTTTTCGTTGCATCTATTATAAATTAAATAATTAGTTTAGATTAAGTCTAAAAAATATAAATATTATATTAACCTGGCTTGCAATAGAGGTAAAGTATTCGTGGACATGCAATTAACACTCCAATCTGTATTGCCATGATCATTACATACAGTAATAGAATATCTACCATATATCGCCCTATCCAAATGAATAATTTCACCATCTTTACACTCCAATTTAAGAGGTTTTCCTTCACAGGCGTAAACAGTATCATAACGAGAAGTATCTATAAAATATAATTATTAAAACATAAAATAGTAAAAAAAATATTTTCAAATGTAATATTTTACCTTTAGCTAAGGTGACAGAAAACAAAACAGCCAACAAGAAGAATACAAGTTTGACATTTGCACTATTCATCAATCTTGCCATCTCCTATTTGACTCACTAAAAAATAATATATTATTGATTGATTAATTTATTTTTAAATAAAATAAAATTATTATTCAATATCAATATAATCAAAGGCAGTTATATTTCTGGTTCATGAATAAGGCTGAGATTTTAATGTTTTAAAAAATAGCAAAATATACTCTAAATGCTCTAAAACTGTGTTTTTCAACCTTTTCAATAATACGACACACTTCATCTCCAACAAAATTATCACAGCACACTAATCCAACCAATCCATATATTATATGAACTATATTTTATATACATATATATGTACACTATTTATTGTGAAATATATTAATACAATCGATCGATCGAGAGGGCTTTGACAGGCTTACTTACAATAAATAATATGTATCTACGATTAGTTAGAACAGTTTTCATCAAATATCGATAATAAGTTGGTAAATACATATATACATATAAAATAATTTATAAATTTATCACGGCACACTTCAAGGACGTTCGCAGTACACGGGTTAGAAACCACTGCTCTAAAATAATGAAAAAATGCTTTAAAAATCATATAAAATGCACTTTAAAAATGGGTAAAAAGAATGTTTTTATTGTAGTTTAAAATTATATTATAAAAATCATGTTACTAAAATATAACTATTTAATAATATAACTATTTAGTTATAATTATTTACATTTTATTTAACTTTATTTAAATTTAATTTATTTCATAATTTGTTATTATAATCGTCGTTGGAATCTTATAAATAGAAAAATTTCTTTCAAATACTTTAATATTATTTAATATTTGATAAAATACTTGCATGGTCTAATATGCTTATATTTATTAGTTTATTAATTTAGTAAATTATATACTAAACGTGCAAATTTTGAGTAAACTATTAAAATATTTAAAAATATAAAGATAAATTCTGAAAAATGCCCTAAAAACAGCAACATATGTCCTATATGAAAAAAAATAAAATTTTTCATAAAATGCAAATAATTGCAAAATAAAAACTGCATTAAATTAATCATTACCACTTGAAATACATTTTTTTCTTACAGACCAATAAGTTGGGACATAAAAAAAAAAGATGCATTTGCTTCAATATCCCAGCCTAATCATAAACAACAATGTATTTTTATACTTTTTCATTTAAGCTTTATGACTTGTGCATTTATAAAGCACTACCTATTTATAATTATTCAGTTTGTTAATTTAATATAACACATAAAAAGTAATTTTACTAAATGAAATAATATAATTCAATTATAATAAGAAATTAAATGTTTTCTAATATGAAAATGATTATCAATGCATCAAATAGAACTTCCATAGATTGATGTACTAATTTTATATTTATGATAAATATAGGTTATATAAAATATAATAAAATGAATTTAAATATATGTATACATATATATATATATATTATATTAATATAATGAAAGATTTTTGGACAAAGTATGTCTAGGATAAATACATGAACTGTAAGACCCTGGCTATAAATTAGCTACTATGTTTGACTCCACATATATAAGTGAAACTTTGTTCTCCAAAATGACGTTTTTAAAAAAATAAATACCGTTCAAGATTAACTGATCACCACTTTGAAAATACTTTGCATATCATTTTTTCTCCAAGAGTATCAAAATTTAAAAAATTAGCTCAAAAAATAAATGTAATTTCTCTCATTCAACTTAAGTACACAATTTTGTTATTATTAGTATAAATGTGTTTTTAATACAAAAATAAAAAAATTATTGATAAAATTATGTTTAAGTTTTTTCTGGCCTTCTAAATTTTTTATTTAAATTATCTAGACCGCTATAGAAATTAATTGCCAACTTTTGGTTTAACTTCTTAACATATATTTTTATTACAATAGTATAATTTAAATTCTAACAAATATGCAATCAATATAAGATAATATGCTACTATTTACAAAATTTTATAAGGATGAATTGTATATTTGTACTGCTATTCTTATTTTATTTCAATTATTAATTTCTTAAATGTGTGGTCTTTATTTTATTTTATGAAACTATGTGTAATATTTTATTTTTACAAAATACTTAATTCCAAACCTTTTTATAGTTATAACTTGTATAAATGGCAGAAAATGGAACCGTTTTCATTCTATAAAGTTACATCAACTGAAAATTTATTTGAAATATGTGGAGGAGATAACTAAGTGAATATCACATTAAAAACTCTTAAAGAAAATAGTAAGAAATTAATAGCTTAAATTATTCATGATATAATAATGTATCATTAATTTATTATATATATATAATTAATTATAATTTTGTATCATTAACATATTTATTAACAACTACATTTTAGTAAAATATTAAGAGTTTTTTTTTACAAAAATCTATAATCTAATATATCTAAACAATTTAACAAAAATAAAAATATAAAACTATTTACATACAATTAAATTATATTCAATATACCTATTTAAGATATTAAAATACTCATAGAACAAAATTGTTTTTATGATGGTTAGGTTAACATAAGTCATAGGAAATTGGACTACTCATTAAATTCCTACAAACACAAAAATTATACCTATAAAAATATTATAACTAATAAAAACAAACATTAAACATTTATTTATTTTTTTTAAAATTTTTTAATATTTTTAAAAGTACAACTTCAATAAACATGTTTATAATTTTATAACAAACTATAATAAATTGATTTAATTTCAATGTAAGTTATCAAAATATTTGCATTGTTATTTTCAAAAAATCAACTTTTAGTGACAATTTCAAACTTTTATGCCCACCTAATTGTTTTTTCATTACTTAATTAGATAAATAGGTGCTTTATTTTTCCTATCTTTATTTTGTGTTAAATAAAATGAAAAACATGTAATCATATTGAATAATTTTTAGACACAGGGATTTTCTAAATGCATCAGTATGTATATTTAAGGTTAAGTAAACACTTGATAATAAAAGGAAAAGATTAGATTTAAGCTCAATTTTTAAATTAATGAATGAAGATATTAACTGCCGAGAATTTTTTTCTTTTTTTGAACTTTAATGTTCTAAATCAAGGGTCACCAACTTTTTCAAACAAATGAGCTACATTTGATATTTAAGTCCTTGGTGATCGACATCCAGGAGAATTTAGGTCTTTAGGAATAGACTTTTTTGATGACAAAAAAAAAAGGTCTGCCACAAAAAATAAATATTTATTGTTTTTTCTTAATAATCTAATGTATTCATTATCCAATTATTTTATGTGATCGACCAACAGTGGTAAAATTAATTTTTACAGCAATTAACCTATAATCCTAGAAAGATCGACCAGTTTATTACAATCAACTGGTTGGCGACCCCTGTTATAAATAGTAGAACTAGACACGTTGAATAATTTTTAAATGCTACTCCAGCATTTAAACTATGGTAAAAATGCCCCTGTAAATAGATATTTTTATTAAATAAATAATTTTAATATTTTATAATTTTTATTTTTTTATTTGTCTCGTAAATTAGAATTAATGATCATAAAATAAGATAAAATATTTTACATTTGTAAAAATTTAAAAAACTTTTAATGAATAATACTGAACATGTTTTGATAACTAGTTGCTCCCTAATAAAATTTCATACCTGTATAGAAAATATTTTAAAGCTAGATATTTTAAGAAAATGTTACTGTTATCATATTTTAATTTTATTTAAAATATCTTAAATATTCAGACAAATTATTCTTTTATTAGCATATAAAGTATATTAAAATAAAACATTATTTACAGTTGGTACAGTATACGTACAGTAGTCCCTTTCTGATTCCATGGTATACAAATATTTCTGATTAAAAAAATCCGATTTACATTATTAGTCATTAACAGGAGATCGGTCTTGTAAAATAATACTGGTTCAAAAAATTATGCCCTGAATAATCATCATCTCTAACACTATTCCCTCCCATAAATATATCACGCTTACAAATTAAAAAAAGCTCATTTCATGTCTTTATCAACTACTCATTTCTTAACAGGTTTAGATTTATACTTTAACTTTTATTAATTAATATCTGATATGATTGTATGAAAATGTTATATCCATAAAAACAAAATCATTACTTGTACGTCCTTTTCTAACAAGAGAATTTTCATGTGTGTAGTCCACACTCTCAATGGAGTGGGTCAGGTGGGGGAAAGTATAGGCAACCAGAACAATGGCAGGAGAGAGAGACCACAGAAAATTCTGCAGAATATTTTTTGCACTGTACTACCTAAATTCATTTATTTAAAAATTAACGGATAACTTTACAGTACCAAAAATTCCAAAAACTCAACCAAAAATCTTACATAAGAAAATTAAATAAATAGGTATTATATATACTTAATATTGTTTAAAACATTTTATTTTAATGACATAACTTAACAAGATATTAACTTATAAATTGTATGTATTAAACAGGTATTAAGATAAATAAAATCAATTAAATCAAATACATATTTTAAAATATAACAGGATTATAGAAACCATAATGGAATGATAAAAAATATATATACTTAAAACAGATAACAAAATGAAAACAATCTTATAAGTTCCCTAAATCTGGTTATAATCACAGAATAAAACAGAATGGACACTGACTACAAATTACATGGGCAGCATAGGACAATAATGAAATCGGTCAGCCATTTTATTTGAGGTACAGTAGGAAGTCAGTAATATTTTATTCCATCATGAAATTGTAGTAATATTCATTATAAACTACTGTAACTACTATAAGCTACTGCGCATTTTCAAATGTTACTAATAGTAGTATTATTTTTCAAGGTATTAGGTGCAATAAGAGTTTGAGATTTGGGGGGCTTTTAAATCTTATACTATGGTATGACCATGGGTCAACCCCCAAACTCCCATCATTACCAAAATAATATAAATTGTGTTTTTGTAAATATATTACAATTTTATTAGTAAATTTACTACAACAATGATTTGCATTTTATAGTATTATATCGATATTAACGTTTTTAATGCACTTAAAAAATTTATATAATACTATTTAATCATCGATGAATCTATTTTATATTTTTTTTTTTTTTTAAATACTTCCCATTTTGAAATTCTGCACATGGTCCTGTATTATGGAAGACATAGTATCTAAAAAATGATCCACAAGTAAAAACTTCTTGGTACCCAGTAGGTCACCATGTTTCACACTGTTTGGTAGATCACATATTGAACAATTACCATAGTTGAAATTACAATTAATAACGGATATCAGTTATCACTGATTATAATTTGATAACAAAAGTACCTCAATTAAAATGGCAGCTGATTTCGTTGCCGCCGTGTTATGACCACCCCGTTATAACTTCAGGAATTAATGAATGATATAATCAGAGATATAATCTAAATTAATCTATTTCCAATAATTGAGAAATAAAAAACAAGGGTTTTTATTATTTCATTTAATATATTTATAAGTTAATCATATTAAGTTAGAGATAAAAATTAAATGTAGAGAAGTGTACAATATAACAATATTAAATACCTATACATCTGCCTATACACTAGTCATAAACGAGTAAAATAATTTTTATTACTAATAATAAAATGTACTGTACCTATATATTTATAACAGCAATAATGTTTAAAAAATATAAAGTTATTTGTAATACCTAATATAAAGTATTTTAACTTACTCTAAGATTGGTAATTATTTTAAAACACTAAAGTTATCAATAATTAAATAATATTACTCCAGTATATTATACAAAAAATGTAAAATATAACAATTAAGTGTTATATTTACAAGATAAATCAAATTACTTTGTATTTAACTGTAATAAATGCATTTAAAAATCATTATGCAAAAATAATGGTTAAAAAATCCTAGAACATTGAATATTTAAAAAAAAAATAGGTACTGACTGAAATATAACATTTTGGAATATTTCTTTATATATTAAAACAGGGATGGAAAACGTTTTTAAAAAAAATTATGAAACGAAAAAAATGAAAAACAAAAATAATTAAAAAACAAAAAAAATATAATAACAAAATCAATAAAACAAAAACAAATAAAAAATATCATAACGAAATCGAAAATAAAAACAAAAATACATTATAGTATTATACTATTATTTATTACGAAAAAAAAAAATATATCTGTTATCAAAAAATTGATAATTTTGATAACTAATAGGTAATTATTAACAAATAAAATATATTAATAGCATAATACAATAATTAATTATAGTCCACATGGCACATACACATTGCAGTGGAGACGATAAAATGATATTATCTTTCACGATGACGGTCATGGTGATAGTGTAATCTATACCATAGTTGCCGCTTCAATTATTATAATATGATTATATTATTATCTATTGATTTTAGCAGTTGATTAGGAATTGATTTTGTTTTATAATTTATTATGCCTACTCATTATCCTATTGGCTATTATATTTAATAGTAACAATAACATGACTTTATAGAAATCTGAATTAGTGTTTCACTAATTTTTACTTACTTTTTAGTCTTTACTCTTCACCAATGCACTTTGTAAAAATGTTTTATTTTAAAATTTTGAATCTTCTTAATTTCATATAAAATATAAACTATAATTTTGATTTGAAATTTAAATTTTAAATATTAAGAATAATTAATTATAACTTAAGTGCATTCCTATATTCAGTATATTGAATATTCATTGTAACTATTATTAGTTAGGTACCTATAAGAAATAAGTATATAAAAAAAAAAAAAAATTATCAAAAATGTTAATCGGAAACAATTTAGAAAAATAAAATTTTCAAAAACGTTATTTGGAAATAATAAAGAAAAATAATATTTTGAAAAACGTTATTTAAAAATACGGTTTTTAAAAACTTTTATCAAAAACATTTAAAAACGTTAAACAAAAACAATATTTTTTTAAATCAATTAACAAAAATTAAAAACGTTTTCCATCCCTGATTAAAACTATACTAAAAAATCTAATATTATTTATCACATATTTCAGTATTACAATAACTCATGTTATGAAATTATAAGCAATGGGCTTGAAGAGTCTCAGGATTTGACAGCCTCGAATTTACAAAAATTATATGTATACAAAATATCATCATTTTACATTTTATTCTTTTTTTAAAATTAGGCTAATAATAAAAATCAATATTGTAAAAAAATAGTCAAATCACAATTTATGTATTTAAAGGCCCCTGATATATGTTAAACCCTAGGCCTCATATTTCTTAAAAATAACTACATATACTACCTATTTAATAACAAATAGTAGATCTATTTTGAAATTTAAAAGATACTATACAATATTAAACATACTTAGATAAATTACATAGTAGATTAATTTTATTAAAATATTTAAGAGTATGCCAATTTTTGTAATACTTAAACTCTTAAATGTCATTAATAAATAATATACATTATTTTAGTTAATGTAGGTATAAAACACAATACAAATAGGGTTTATGAACTTTAATTTATATATATATACCCATACACTGTATGAGTATTTATAATTTTAAAATGTATACTAGACTTCTTTAATTATATTATGGACCATATATCAATAATTAGGTTTGAAATAGTAATTTTTATTAATTACATTTTTAGTTTTAAAAATGTTGGTTTACAATGCTGTATGTCAATAACAAACAATACTATTAACTAATAATAGTTAAAATTATTAAATAGCATTGCTTCTTTAACAAGTTGTGAAACATTTTATCTAAGTTTAAGAACGAATAGACATGAAAGTTTACCTTTTATATTTGCTATAACAATATGTGCTGTAAATCCATGTTCACTGTTTTCCGTTGATGGTAATATTGATGTAGCCACTGTCGCTCGATTGTCGTTTCATCAACAGACGAATAGCAACTGGCACATTGTCCGAACAGTGTGCAGTAAGTGTGCAGTAGCGAATGGCTGCAGATCACGATCAGTGGACATTTACGTAATAGTCCAATGAGCCCGGGTCATCACTGATGCTTACGCCACTGGTAACTTTGGACTCAAAAATTTGTTCCCCGGCAAGGCGTTTGCACAACGTCTGTGGTGATGTCGACATTAGACATCAGACCCAAAACGCACTGGATCGTCTCGGACACACGCCAGCGGCGCGATGGACACGACTTGTCACAGGCCCAAGCCGAACAAAACAATACACGCAGTCGACGGTGAAGCCAAGAAGACGAAACACACGCGCACACGAACACGACCGTCGTGACAGCGGCGGCGGCGGCAACGGGTTCGCGGACGACGATTGTTATTGTTATTGTGTCAACAATCGCTTCGGACGACGGTCACTGGCAAAAGACGTTTCTCGCATTTGATGCGTCTGCGGCCGTTGTTGTTGCGATCGACGTTGATGGCGACTGCACGGTGACGGCGATATCATTTAACGAGACGAGAGAACGCGGCGGTGATCCGACTACACCCGACGACGATCGCACTGGTCGACACGACGACAACGAGAAAACATCATTTTCTTGTACCGGCGGCGCGAACACACACGGCTACGACACACACGTAATAATAATAATAACAAATAATAACAATAATAACGAAAAAAAAAAAAAAACAATAAGATAGCTGCGGCGACACCACGATAGGTACTACGCGTACGGTCCGACCATTCCGTGACGAACGTGCGTGTGCGTGTGTGCGAGCGTGTAGTCGTTCCCGTACTATGCGTATATAATGTATATATATATATGTGTATGATATACAGTAATAATAATAATAATAATAATAGTTTATGCGCGTGTGTGTGTATGTAAATATATGTACAAACGAATACGAGATATGTGTGTGTGTGTGTGTGTGTGTGTGTAGTAGTAGTAGTAGTAGTAGTAGTACACACGCGTGGAGTGTGTTATGCACCGCAGTGGAGTTCTGTCGGTTTCGGTGAGCGGTGAGGTGAGCGGCGGGGAGAAGAATAAAAAAGAAATTCCATAGAAGAGAAACCGTAGAAACAAAAAGAATAACGGGTACCGGCGACAGCGACCGACGGCAACGTAGCCGAATACGAGCGCGGCGAGGTGCAGAAACACGGCTAGTTTCCCGTCGCACCGTACGCGAGTATCTCCCCCCCGGACCGCGGCGCCCGACACGGTGGAGTAGGTATTTGCCGAGAACGATGGCATGCGCCGCCGCCGCGCTACGCGTGTCCGCATCGCCGCATACCAGGGGTGACCAAAACGCACACGCGCTTACCGATCGGAATTTATATTAAATGCACCGCGCGATGACGGCTGTTCTAGGTATACGCGTGCGAGACATTCGACTGCCGTTGACCGATGCGCACGTACGGCAGGTATATCGAAATAATTGAAATTACATCGAGTCGACATCGGCAATGTCCCGTCACGAGACTATCGGGGGGGGGGGGGGGAGGAAAAAAAACTGGTCACCCCTGTCGTGCCGTGGCTAGAGGGCGGGAGTGCGCGTTTGCGCGTGTTTCGGCAGTGTTATTAAACGACGGCGGCGGCTGCGGCGGCGGCCAAATGATCCGTCGTTATCGTTCGTCGTCGCCGGCGGTACCGAGTGGTGGTCGTGGTTATACACCTGCACGCCGCTACCGCCCACGGAATTTTACCTTTGACGACGCGATTCCTATCGGTCGGGTCGCGTCATCGTCGTCACACACACACACACACACACACACACACACCTCCCTTGGTGCTCAGCGATCGCGACGTATGCGTGCCGCATATTATTATACCGTCGCGTTGACGGCGCGCTACACTTGTACATGTTTTTTCGGTGTGTGTGGACGATCTGATTGTGTGATCGTCGCCGCCGGTGACTCGTCGCCCCGTTCCATTGTTTCACCATATTAACAATTATATAAGAAGGACGATATTATTATTATTATTATTATTATTATTATTGTTATTATTATTGTCCCTCTCTTATTGTTTTATTTTTATCATTATTATTCGGTTTGATGTTTTCAACACGCGCCGTATCCAGTCGCGTGGTACGCAGCAGCTAACCAGAACAATGGAACGATATTTTTCATTCGAATTTCACGTACCTACCTACCACAAAGCGCAGTGTTATTATTCGTCATTTTTTAATGACGGAATGTAAATGCGGTCGATCTCGCTAAAATGTACCGAATTGCTATGCACACGATAATAGAGAACGCCGCATACCACCGATCCGCATAGCCTTCCCGCAGCGTGTTTCATGACCAACGCGTACAGCCGGTATTTTATTAACACGCGTGTCGGCATTTGATCATTTGTCCGTCGTCGCAGGTGTCGGAGTATTGTCCGCGGTCGTAACGAAACCGATGAATACCATCGGATAGATGAAACGACCCGAGTGGAACATACATTCTGTACTCGACGTAAAGTGGCGTCAAACCCACGTCCCATTTTCAGAGTTTTCGATAAAAAGTGAAAATTAATTTGTCAAGTGCGACATCGACTTAACATTTTCGAACTATGAAATTAATACTCCATGTGGTTTGTTTTATAATACACGACGCACAGACATTCTGTGGCGCCGTTACCCAATCGAGGTCAGGGCATGGCCTCTTGTTTTGTTTTGAAATTCATTAAAGGACCGATTGGTTCGAATTAATGGTTATAAACGGCGGTCGGCTTACGATTGTTTTATGGTTTAAATATTTTCATACATATTATGTTTTCGGTATGCCCGAATACTTTTCCAGAGCTTAGTTACGTAACAACAGCTGTTATAATAGCACCATTTAACTAACGATTTTTCAAAAACCTGTTATGAATATTAATATGATTACGAATCATTAACGCACGTAATGTAGTCGAATCTAGAGTCTTGTTTGTGGTGAATACCAATTCTAGTTCAAAATTGTTCAAACGCCCGGCCGTCCGGAGATTTCCGTAAAAATCGTAGACAAGAATACTAAAAAAAAAATTCCACGCATTGTGGATATTGCCTGCGTGTGACTACTACCACGACAGAGTGAATTGATGGGTGTACGCATAAAATTGTTATGATTCACACGCCCGGTACCTCGATTGATTATACTTCACAACTCCGCTTACGGAACGTGCCTTCAGACTGCGGGGGCGGAGGGAGTTCGTGGAGCACGTTGCGTCACCGTCGTCCTGAAGATGTGCATGCGTGTGTTTGTAATCATGATTTATGTCTGTGCAGCTTTTTTTTATTTATTATTTTTTTGTAATAGCGCAATATTTAAAAATTTGAAAACCGAAAAAATTATGCTCATTACTCATACGATACCTTTTGCTTTTAAAAAACCCGTAGATTTGTTATAATTACTCGTACAACATTTATTTGCCATTCACTTTATTAATATCTACGTTTTACTCGGAAAAAAAAATATTATCAACGTACGAATCCGAGTATAAAATATCTTAACAGAACTTTATATTCCGAACAAAACAAGAAATATATTATTAGTTAATTGTTCAACAAAGACGAGTTTTTTCTTCTCTTTATTACTATTTTGTGATAAAAGTAATCTGCACTAAATTACATACCTAAACTTTAATGCTACATTACTTTTAAGATCAAAAATTGCATAGGGAATGTCATTTTTCGAATAAATTGATCTTTTTCTGTTATCAAAATAAACTTGATATTAACACCAAATTGTATAGATCATAACCAAGTACAGTTATGTCTTATAACTTATAAACTATATACGGTACGCTATATTTTTTACACGATAATTATATTAATAACAATGATCAAAATAACTAGGGCTGAGGACTTCTTTTTTTTTTATATTTTTTTAGAAAGATCGTAAAAAAATTTTAGTGATCAACAAATGAGTTTTTTTTCAGAATGAGATCAAATTTAAAACTTAATTTTTCATATATTTGCATATTTTTTTATTATTGCAAATACATATTTGAGTATATTAAACAAATTAAGAACACATTTATGCATTATTAAATATACATGCACATAATGCACATGCATATTTGAGTATATTAAAAAAATTAAGAACAATATTTGACGTTTTTCGAAATAAATTCTTAAATAAGCTTAGACGAAAAAGAACAAATTGTTAAATGTATTATTTAAAAATCATATTTTCTTTAACGGTTAGTTTACTATTGACCGATAAAACCGATAATACTAAAACACGCAATGGAATTGAACTTCAGTTGTCCGTCATATTTTGTCACGTACCTATTCATTTTATTATTATACGCACTGCGTGAAATATTTTCGTCGTGTAATTATTTTATTTATCAAATATGCCAAAGGAAAAAACAATCATTGAAATTTCTTTGAAAAAGTTATGTGACAGAATTAAGTGATTATAGTGATCTAGTATTTACAACACAAGGAAAGATTATAAATGTAAATGTTGTTAAAAATTGGTAGAGATAGAAAATTCAACGTTCAACAACACATTGATACAGCTAAACATAAGGCAGCTATCAAATGAAACAAAATCAAAATAAATTTGATTTACAAAAAACTCAACAGCAACTCTTAGGTAACACAAAAAAAAGTCTTCTTTTAATAAAGATTTATATTATCCTTTGTTATCTACAAACATTCCATTTAATAAGCTAAATCGTCATTTTTTAAGTCGTTTTTTGGAAAAATATACATTGAAAAAAATTCTAAATCAAATTATACTTTGTAGAATCTTTATAAATGATATTTATGAAGACACTTTACTGAAAATTAGAAGTTTTAAATTCGGTAAAAAAATCAGGATTTTGATCGATAAGATTACACTTTTCGCAAGACATCGCAAATGTCATTGTAGGAACGCTCAAATCGACCCAGGTCGCGTGTTTTTATTTAACTGTGTAGAACTAGAGAAATCGAGTCATTTTACAGTCACTAAATTCTATAATAATTATATGCATAATATATGGCCTGAGGTGTACGACATGATGATATTTTATTATTTTTATGGAACGTGGTACCATATATGGTAAAAGAAGGAAAAACGCTTGATATATATTATACGAAAATGATTCATGTTAAAATATAGTTCATGCATTTCATAGAGTAGCTGAAAAATTAGAGGGCATTACTCAAAAGTTGATAAAATTATAGCAAACGTGAAAAAAGTATTTTATAAGGCTTCATATCACATTAATTGTTTAAAAGAATAATCACCTCTCCTACCACTTCTCCCTCAACCAATCATTACAAGATGGAGACCCTGGTTGAAAGCAGCTATTTATTATTGCGATAATTACGAACTAATATTAGATATTATTACACCTTTTGATAAAAAATATTCTGTTTATGTTGAAAACTCTCAAAAGTACTTAAATTATCCAGATGTTGCTCCAACTCTGGTGTATCTAAAATCAAACTTTATTACTCTCCTTGAAGCAAGGAAATTTCCTTTATCCGATGGAATTGATATAATAAAAAATTCCTATTTAAGATTCAGTGCAAGTTAATGCAACAAAAAATAGACGATATTTTATTAAAAAAAAAAATTAAAAATTACTATAAAACATTAAATAATATTTCAAAAATAATGAATGAAGAAATTACTTTAATATATAGCTTACCCAAAGACTTAAAATCAAATAATTGTTATTTTTTAAATATGCCTCCCAAATTTCCGTAGATATAAAACGATCTTTCTCAATATATAAAACATTGTAGGCAGGTAATAGAAATTCGTTTTGATTTGAAAATATAAGGAAATATCTTGTCGTTTAATGCAATATTAAAGGTAAATTATACAATATT